GGATTGTTTGGTTTACAGGTTGTAATCCTGTAATAGTGGTTGTCTGTACTTATGACCTGGATTGTTTGGTTTACAGGTTGTAATCCTGTAATAGTGGTTGTCTGTACTTATGACCTGGATTGTTTGGTTTACAGGTTGTAATCCTGTAATAGTGGTTGTCTGTACTTATGACCTGGATTGTTTGGTTTACAGGTTGTAATCCTGTAATAGTGGTTGTCTGTACTTATGACCTGGATTGTTTGGTTTACAGGTTGTAATCCTGTAATAGTGGTTGTCTGTACTTATGACCTGGATTGTTTGGTTTACAGGTTGTAATCCTGTAATAGTGGTTGTCTGTACTTATGACCTGGATTGTTTGGTTTACAGGTTGTAATCCTGTAATAGTGGTTGTCTGTACTTATGACCTGGATTGTTTGGTTTACAGGTTGTAATCCTGTAATAGTGGTTGTCTGTACTTACGACCTGGATTGTTTGGTTTACAGATCGGGTTCCTGTAATCGTGGTTGAAGTGATGTGTAAACTGGTGTTATATTTCTGTTGTATAGGTTGAATATTTCCTTTCTTTCTGAGGAAAAAGTCATACAGTACAATACAAGAAGGCCTCGTTTGAACACGGCTAGAACCAATATTTTTGTTCGTAATACAGTTTTTATTTTGGAATTACAGGAAGTCGCTTTGCTGTCGTTTAACTCTCTGTCCGTTAGTCTATCTGTGTGTCACATTGTCTAGGGCATCATCCCATATACTGTCACCTACAGTTGCACATTTTGTATGTCAATATATCTTGAGGGCTGGAATGTCATGTTCTGGAGTTCGTTGTTTCTCACTTTATCCATAGTTATGGCTTTTTGTTCTTTTTTTATACCAACATTTGTCTAAAACTAAAAAGTTGGGGACAATCACTGGGGAATACGATGGTTTGTAATATTTTACCCTGGTAACATATGTATAAAATGGGGTATAATATCAGGTTTCTGGCTTGTCCAGGATTTAGTCCTTCCTGACTGTATGGGGTCGCGGTGGCCAAGTGGTTAAGGCGTCTGACATTCTGCTACCACTAGCCCTCCACCACTGGGTCGCGGGTTCGAGGCCTACGTGGGGCAGTCACCAGGTACTGGCCGTAGGTCGTGGTTTTTGACCGGGAACTCCGGCTTTCCTCCACCACCAAAACCTGGCACTTCCTTAAATGACCATAGCGCTTTTGATAGGACGTAAAACACAAACAAAACAAAAAAAATAAAGAAAAAGTAGTTCAGACTGGCCAGACCTTCATATTTTTTAATGTTGATGTATTGTGTACTATTAAAGTGGGTATACTGTGTTATATAATGTCAATGTATTATTATACTTACAGACAACAGGACACACAAGGTGTTGATTGAAGACTACAATGTGGAGACAGGGCTATACCAAGTCAAACACAGGGAGGATGAAAAAGGTTAGTACGGGGGTGTAGGGAGTAACAGCCACTGCTATAATGATGGAGGTGGTAATGTAAAAGCCATTGGTATAAAAGAAGATATAGAAATATACAGATGATTTCAATAACTGTAAGTATAATGGCAGGATTTGTAGAAATTAAGGAACGGGGGGGGGAGGCAGAATTTTATGGAACAGCTCAAGTGTAACGGAAATGGGATAACAGAGAAAGGTTTGAAATTTTTAGAAAATGCAGTTGATGTCTGTCTTACAAGGTCAAGGTCTAAATAAATTTATTTCCCATATGATCTGTAAATGTTAGGTTTTATTTCAAGATGTTAAACAGCCTTCCCAGATATGTCAAGTGTAAATTTACTCTGTAGTGATAAAAACCTACTTCATCATGGGCCGAAACGACAACTGCACAAAGGGTCCAGCTTGGTCAGTAGCATCGCCTTCAGCTGCCCCGGAGAATGTAGCTATTACTGTGGAAGGGGAGACAACTTCTGGACAAACAGGGGAAGCTGCTACTGCTGCTACTGAGCTCCTGGCCTCGGATAAGGTGGGTTGAAAAATTCCTAGTTGATATACTTTATTCCCTTGCATCACTGGGCCAATGTTTTAACTACTTACAAGGTCAAGGTCACAGCAGGGGTCAAATGTTATATTGTAAGTTTGTCAAGGACATTACTCCTGAACATTATTTTGTGATAAAACTTCACAGACAGGTGTATCAGCACTAGGTATAACTATTAACAAGGTCAAGGTCACAGCTGGGGTCAAATGTTCTATTGTAAGTTTGCCAACTTCACAGATAGGTGTATCAGCACTAGGTATAACTACTTACAAGGTCAAGGTTACAACAGGGGTCAGATGTTATATTGTAAGTTTGTCAAGGTCATTACTTCTTAACATTATTTTGTGAAAACTTCACAGACAGGTGTATCAACACCTGGTATTATGTGTTATGTTCAACTCCAGAGTTCTTATTCCCAAGGTCAAGGTCAGAAGTGGGGTCACACATTGGATCACTGTGATGCTTCTCCTGAACTTGTATATAGATGAAGATGTTCTATCATGATTGGATGGTGTGCCAGGTACCTCTCTTATATCTGCTGACAAGATTATAAGTTCCTGACAATAGACCCAAGGTCGAACGATTTAATTATTGTCATGACAATGACTTCTGAAGAACTGAATTTATGTAGTCATGGTTCTCAAAGGCAATAAATAGATAGCTAGAACTTGAATTGAAGTAGGTGCTTTAAAAGTACTGGAAAATAGGTGTATTCTAGAAAAGTGCTGGAATAGACAGGTGGAATGTATACTCGGCACATTGGAGGAATAATAAGGGAATTGTGACTGTTTCAGATTTTTGTGTTTTGATAAATTCATTTGTGACTGATTTTAATTATTGTACTGCATAACAATTCACTGGACTTTTATTTGTAAAATTATTGGAATATTGTCCTGAAGTTTTCTTGAACCTTGTCAATGAAATGTCACAGATAAAACCTTATCAATGAAATGTCACAGATAAAACCTTGTCAATGAAATGTCACAAATAAAACCTTGTCAATGAAATGTCACAGATAAATGCATCATGGTTAGACAGCGTGTCATGTACCAATAGCAGGTCAGTACCCCAAACGACAAGACTAGGGTATGGCAGAATGTCTTCAAATAAAAGCCTAGTATTCGCCTGACCAGTAGCCATTGCTTTGTAAGACAGCTACGTTTACATAAGACCCAGGATTCACAATACTTTTATCAGAGTAAGTGGAAAGTTGCTACATATAGACATAATTCGGCCTCAGCATCTTAGGGCAAACATTGTGCGGACAACTGATCAAAAATCCATTTCTTTCTGTGGTGTAGTCGATATCCGATTGTAGGCCTAGACAGTTTACACCGAGTAAGTTCATATTTTTCTGACCAAGTGCATTAGCTGGAAAGATATCGCTCAAGGAGGCAGACGTAAATATCGGTGTCTTCATGGGACCCTTTTGTAAACAACTTCTTAAAAATCCATTTCTATCTATTGATAGTCACTTTGGTATATTTGTACAAGTAACACACAACATTTCTAACCCAGACAAAGCAAGTATAACTGATGTTTATCTGAAACGAAAAACCAACGATACAGCTCGGAAGACGTATCTTGATTTTAGTCACTGATTTCCAAAATATCAAAGGTCCAAATATATATCAGAGCGCTGGAATACATTGTCTGTAAATAATTGATTTTCTCAAATATCAAAGGGTTTTCATTTGATCAAACGATTGTAATACTCTTTCTGTACTGTGCTTAATATATTAGCAGAAATGTAGAGCAGTTTTGGGTCATCAGTCCTCTGTATGCGGGTCAGTGTGCTGCTGTTTCGTACCCCAGGGATTAGCTGTTAGATTATCTATCAAACATTAAGTAATTTGTCAACAAAGTCAACAATTGTCGTTTGATTCATAGTCTAGGGAATGAAATCCATAATTATCAACCTCATTTCACACACCAGGGGCCACTTGTATAAAACATCTCAAAATTGAAGAAAATCTCAGCAATGTATAGTCTATGGGAAATCTTAGACTTGAGGAAATCTCAAGAGTTGAGATGTTTTCTACCAGTGGGGCCAGGCACTCACACTACCTCCATCTACCCCTCACCCCAAACTGGGGCCAGGCATTCACACTACCTCCGTCTACCCCTCACCCCAAACTGGGGCCAGTCATTCACACTACCTCCATCTACCCCTCACCCCAAACTGGGGCCAGGCACTCACGCTACCTCCATCTACCCCTCACCCCAAACTGGGGCCAGGCACTCACACTACCTCCATCTACCCCTCACCCCAAACTGGGGCCAGGCACTCACACTACCTCCATCTACCCCTCACCCCAAACTGGGGCCAGGCACTCACACTACCTCCATCTACCCCTCACCCCAAACTGGGGCCAGGCACTCACACTACCTCCATCTACCCCTCACCCCAAACTGGGGCCAGGCACTCACACTACCTCCATCTACCCCTCACCCCAAACTGGGGCCAGGCACTCACACTACCTTCATCTATCCCTCACCCCAAACTGGGGCCAGTCACTCACACTACCTCCATCTACCCCTCACCCCAAACTGGGGCCAGGCACTCACGCTACCTCCATCTACCCCTCACCCCAAACTGGGGCCAGGCACTCACACTACCTTCATCTATCCCTCACCCCAAACTGGGGCCAGTCACTCACACTACCTCCATCTACCCCTCACCCCAAACTGGGGCCAGGCACTCACGCTACCTCCATCTACCCCTCACCCCAAACTGGGGCCAGGCACTCACACTACCTTCATCTATCCCTCACCCCAAACTGGGGCCAGTCACTCACACTACCTCCATCTACCCCTCACCCCAAACTGGGGCCAGGCACTCACGCTACCTCCATCTACCCCTCACCCCAAACTGGGGCCAGGCACTCACACTACCTTCATCTATCCCTCACCCCAAACTGGGGCCAGTCACTCACACTACCTCCATCTACCCCTCACCCCAAACTGGGGCCAGGCACTCACGCTACCTCCATCTACCCCTCACCCCAAACTGGGGCCAGGCACTCACACTACCTTCATCTATCCCTCACCCCAAACTGGGGCCAGTCACTCACACTACCTCCATCTACCCCTCACCCCAAACTGGGGCCAGGCACTCACGCTACCTCCATCTTGATTTTAGTCACTGATTTCCAAAATATCAAAGGTCCAAATATATATCAGAGCGCTGGAATACATTGTCTGTAAATAATTGATTTTCTCAAATATCAAAGGGTTTTCATTTGATCAAACGATTGTAATACTCTTTCTGTACTGTGCTTAATATATTAGCAGAAATGTAGAGCAGTTTTGGGTCATCAGTCCTCTGTATGCGGGTCAGTGTGCTGCTGTTTCGTACCCCAGGGATTAGCTGTTAGATTATCTATCAAACATTAAGTAATTTGTCAACAAAGTCAACAATTGTCGTTTGATTCATAGTCTAGGGAATGAAATCCATAATTATCAACCTCATTTCACACACCAGGGGCCACTTGTATAAAACATCTCAAAATTGAAGAAAATCTCAGCAATGTATAGTCTATGGGAAATCTTAGACTTGAGGAAATCTCAAGAGTTGAGATGTTTTCTACCAGTGGGGCCAGGCACTCACACTACCTCCATCTACCCCTCACCCCAAACTGGGGCCAGGCATTCACACTACCTCCGTCTACCCCTCACCCCAAACTGGGGCCAGTCATTCACACTACCTCCATCTACCCCTCACCCCAAACTGGGGCCAGGCACTCACACTACCTTCATCTATCCCTCACCCCAAACTGGGGCCAGTCACTCACACTACCTCCATCTACCCCTCACCCCAAACTCTCCCTTTACTTCTGTACTTCCCAATTGAAAGGTAAGCTGCAATACTTCTGTTCAAGCTCGACTCTTTACAATTAAATAATTTCAAACGTGGTTGAAGCAAAAACAAATCCTTTCCATTAATCTACATTACATAAGAAATTTGATCTTCACCATTTTCTTCCACTTTGGCCTTTTCTGAAATTACTTGTATACGAGAAATATGACTGCAATCTCATTACCAAGGAAACGACAATGATTCCCTACACAAGAATATGTTTGACATGAACCTGTGACATTTTGACAGGGACCCATGGCATTTCAAAACGATATTTATGATATTGTTATGTCGGTGTTTTACGAGCCGATCATGTGTCCCGGTGACACGAACGTCTCATCTGCTCCCGTTATAGATCCTTGCCGTGTGGCATGTAATCAAACGAGCCAAACACAGGTCTGACATGGTGCCATATCCAAACAATATAGCTTTAGATTGCATGAAATTGCATAAACCGTTGTCAATGAAACGGTATAAGAGTCGTGTCTGTTGTATCGGTGTTTGATGAAAGAAGTTTAAAATAGATTTATTTCCAGATCAGTTTGCCTTTTCATGTAAATGCCAAAATAACCTTTACATATTCATTCTTTTTCTCCTGTCTTTTGAATTTTCAGCTTGTGTAACATGCTTGCTGCTGATTGTGTAAGAATGTCTTGGGAGATTTTCATGCCAATTTTATCTATTGTAAGATAAGAATGATGCCCGATTTTGGAAGCAGTGAAATGACAAAGCTAGGGTGATACTAGTTTTGGTCTGGTGTAGTGTAGCAGTTTATCAATATCTTGATGTTTCAATTCCAGTTTGAAAGACATTTCAAAATAGTTGAAACGATTTGTCACTTCTTCTGCGAAATTCATGCAATCCACAGTTAAATATAACTCCTTGTCGAACGGATGACCGTTTTTAATAGAACTAGTTTGATATTTACTTGTCTTACATAGTGGAAATAAAGATGTAAAATATTGGAAATAAACAGATAGTGTTTGTTTAGGCAGACATCAGAGTATTAACAATCATCTGAAAATTAGTTACGATTTATGCTGGTCGTTTGACCTTATCAGTAGAAGATATGTCGCACAAACATTTTACCAAAACAATAAAATTTGGGGACGGGAAGGTGTTCTATCAATGTCTACATTTGGAGACCTTCAGTCCATGATAGGTCTGGCTGGCGATCTGATTGATCGTAATTTACACTAACGGTATCGTTTGGTGGTGTCCACGGGGGAAAAAGATGGGTTCGTAACTAAATCTGATTCAGTTTATCAGAATTGACACTAAGGGTAGTTACGTTTGGTCGTGTTCATAGGGAAAGGGATACGTTTATAACTAAATCATAATCTAAAAAAGTACAGTCCTTTTTCCCTGCGGGGACTTCCACAAGATCGATTTATATAGTGGGCATCTATAACTGGCTTGGTGTTTTCCTGGGCTGTCGTTCTCCGGGGATTACCTCAAGTTTTCCTGGGCTGTCGGTCTCCGGGGATCACCTCAAGTTTTCCTGGGCTGTCGGTCTCCGGGGATCACCTTGAGCCTCATTTGTTGGACAAATGTTTTAGCTTGCTTAATTGTGTAGAAGGTTCATCAACTTTTGTGGCGTGTTTATGGAGGAATCAAGGTTGGCGGTGGAGACCACAGTGAACCTTAGGTGATAAAGTCAGAAGATCTCTGATCCCAAGGTGTCTGCAATCCTAGTAATAGACGCTGCAGTGTTTATTGGATATCAAGATATTTTACATGGGGTTAATGTTTTGCTTTATTTGATCCATTATTTGAATTTCACACACAAATTTAGGAATTTATAAAAAAGAAAATCAGTTTCTGGATTTTGGATTGTGGAATATGCTTATCTTCTATCATCAGGCATGCTTGTTTGTTTGACCTACTGCTCTTTTCTAGGATACAGAAAGTTGTATACTAATAATCTATTTTTTTGAATTATCAATGGCATAAACAGAAAACAAAAAGTTTCATATTTCTCCTTTAAACAACAATAATGTGATACCATTTTAGTCCCTAGTTTTCATTTCATTGATATTTAATTGAACTGAAATCTAAAAGGAACACCCTCGTTTCTGATTGGCCTGACCGTATTGTCTCGGTGCGGTGATATCTGATCAACCCATTGTCAGCTATTGATTTCTATTATTGGCATCCTTGTGATAAGCAGTTGTGATGATGTTTGAACACTGTTATTTTACTCTGTAATAGGAGGTATGCCCAATCGTTGCATCGCTACTTTTCTTCGGCTGCCATGGGTGTAGGCCGTTATAAAATGATAATGATTGTTGCCTGTGTGGATACATCTGTATCGATTAAAGCTCTGAGCAGCTCTATATCGCGCCCAAAACCTTGTCATCTTGGTGCCACAGATAAATATAAAGTTGTTATGCCCTACTCAATAATAAATGTTGCTTTAGCTGTGCGTGTTTTCCACTGGTCTGTCTGTATATCCATATCACATCTGGTTTAGACTTTGCGTTAAGCTGTATTACTCTAAAATAAGAAAACGAAAGAGTCATCAATATTCATACGGGGATGCATCTTGAGATAAAAAAAAGTCTTGCTTTTCTAACTTTGATTAGACTTTTCATTTAGCTCTTTTATTTAATCTGGCTTTGTGTTAGTAGTGAAATGAAAGGATTTGACAAGCTGTTATTGTCACTGTAAGACCTAAAATAAAGTTATGTATGTTTGGTGTAATATGACCAACCCAGGAAAACCGGTCCGACTACAATAATTTTATTGATATTTTGTGCAGAAATTTATTTATATGTTAAGTCCAGGTTCAATATACTGTCCCGATTTAGAAATGAAGATCTGTAAAGTGTTTTACTGACATTTATAAAAATAGCCTGTATAAAGAGCCTAAGTGACTGTCTTGGTCGTGAAACAAAATGGACACATTGCTTCTGATGATTTTTATCCTACCTACCCAAACCTGGGAGTTACGTCAAAAAGAAACGTTTTTAATGGTGGCCTAAGAAAGCTGTATGTTACTTGTGTTCAGCCCACACAGTACACTTGTTATTAAATTCACTTCGGCAGTGTATATCAGAGACAATATTATTTTCATTTGTCCGTCCAGCTCAGTTTGAACGAGAATTTACAGAAATAGTTGAAAGCATTACATTCTGATATGTCTGTCTTTTTGTCTGAGTAAAAGGCTACAGTGATCACGACCTGTCCATTGTCTGAGTAAAAGGCTACAGTGATCACGGCCTGTCCGTTGTCTGCCAGAGTTGTCTCTCTGTAGGAGGTTAATGTTTTATCTAATACCACTAGGGGAGTAACATTGGGGTGAGGCTGGAGTAAGTCAGTCTGGGTGAGTGGTGGGGCAAGGACATTTTCTCTCCGTTCTATTGAGGGGTTATCAGAGCCTGGTAAACCTGGGTGTATTAGAGATACTGTTTTAAGGTAGCCAGGACCTGTGCCTTCCCTATACACCCCAGGAGAAAAAGAGTTGTGATGTTTTCTCACCCAAGGGGCCGCGGTGGCCATGTGGTTAAGGTGTCTGACATTCTGCTACCACTAGCCCTCCACCACTGGGCCGTGTGTTCGAGGCCTATGTGGGGCAGTCTCCAGGTACTGGTCGTAGGTCGGTGGTTGTTCGAGGCCTATGTGGGGCAGTCTCCAGGTACTGGTCGTAGGTCGGTGGTTGTTTGAGGCCTACGTGGGGCAGTCTCCAGGTACTGGCCTTAGGTCGGTGGTTGTTCGAGGCCTATGTGGGGCAGTCTCCAGGTACTGGTCGTAGGTCGGTGGTTGTTCGAGGCCTACGTGGGGCAGTCTCCAGGTACTGGTCGTAGGTCGGTGGTTTTTCTACAGGAACTCCAGCTTTTCTCCACCACCAAAACCTGGCCAAAACAAACGGTTTTCTCACCCAGCTTGATCAAGCCTACATACCTTGGGGAAATTGATGTCACAGAAGTGTTTTGTTGTGACATGTTTAAAGTATACCCTCTGACAGAAGGCGACCTGGATCGGTGTCTTGACAGACAGCGGGTGACCTGGATCGGTGTCTAGACTGACAGAGGGCGACCTGGATCGGTGTCTAGACTGACAGAAGGCGACCTTGATCAGTGTCTAGACAGACAGAGGGTGACCTGGATCTGTGTCCAGACTGACAGAGGGTGACCTGGATCGGTGTCTAGACTGACAGAGGGTGACCTGGATCGGTGTCTAGACTGACAGAGGGTGACCTGGATCAGTGTCTAGACTGACAAAGGTTGACCTGGATCAGTGTCTAGACAGACAGAGGGTGACCTGGATCGGTGTCTAGACTGACAGAGGGCGACCTGGATCAGTGTCTAGACAGACAGAGGGTGACCTGGATCAGTGTCTAGACTGACAGAGGGTGACCTGGATCTGTGTCTAAACTGACAGAAGGCGACCTGGATCGGTGTCCAGACTGACAGAGGTTGAACTGGATGGGTGTCTAGACTGACAGAGGGGTACCTGGATCTGTGTCTAGACTGCCAGAAGGCGACCTGGATCGGTGTCCAGACTGACCGAGGGTGCCCTGGATCGGTGTCTAGACTGACGGAGGGCGACCTGGATCAGTGTCTTGACAGACAGGGTGACCTGGGTCGGGGTCTAGACTGACAGAGGGTTACCTGGATCGGTGTCTAGACTGACAGAGGGTAACCTGGATCAGTGTCTAGACTGATAGAGGGTGACCTGGATCGGTGTCTGGACTGACAGAGGGCGACCTGGATCTGTGTCTAGACTGACAGAGGGTGACCTTGATCTGTGTCTAGACTGACAGAAGGCGACCTGGATCTGTGTCCAGACTGACAGAGGTTGACCTGGATGGGTGTCTAGACTGACAGAGGGTTACCTGGATCTGTGTCTAGACTGACAGAAGGCGACCTGGATCGGTGTCTTGACAGACAGAGGGTGACCTGGATCGGTGTCTTGACAGACAGAGGGCGACCTGGATTGGTGTCTAGACTGACAGAGGGTGACCTGGATCGGTGTCTTGACTGACAGAGGGCGACCTGGATCGGTGTCTTGACAGACAGAGGGTGACTTGGATCGGTGTCTAGACTGACAGAGGGTGGCCTGGATCGGTGTCTTGACAGACAGAGGGTGACTTGGATCGGAGTCTAGACTGACAGAGGGTGACCTGGATCGGTGTCATGACCGACAGAGGGCGACCTGGATTGGTGTCTAGACTGACAGAGGGTTACCTGGATCGGTGTCTAGACTGACAGAGGGGGACCTGGCTCAGTGTCTAGACTGACAGAGGGGGACCTGGATCGGGGTCTAGACTGACAGAGGGGTACCTGGATCTGTGTCTAGACTGACAGAAGGCGACCTGGATCGGTGTCCTGACAGACAGAGGGTGTCCTGGAATCGGTGTCTAGACTGACAAAGGCGACCTGGATCGGTGTCTAGACTGACAGAGGGCGACCTGGATCAGTGTCTAGGAAGTGATCTGAGAAATAGGAAGAATCTGTGTAACAAAAATGTAAATTTTATGTAAGAATTGGGAGAAATGTTTGCTAGTAATGTTTGTACAGTTGTACACTATATGTCTCTGGGATAGTTTTATATCTATAATTACACAAACTAATGTTATTATAAGTTTAGACACATTATGGTATTTTCAGAACAGACTGCACTCCTCTAAATTTCATTTGTCAGAAGAAAATAGCAAAAAGTGACATAAACAGACACATTATTTGTCTGTAAAAATATTTTGTACATATTGGTTACCAAAAATTAATGTATACCACATACACCATCCTTTATAACAAAGCTAGGTCATGATCAGTAAAGGGGAAAATATGTGACTTGTTAGAAAAATCTGCAAAGAATGTTAAGTACATAAAAGTAATTTTAAAAAAATAGTGTTTCAGGTAAACATTATATTAACCCTTTTACCCCATTGTAACTTTAATAACCTCTACCATCAATTGATCTGGATGAGTACATTTTGGTCTGTCTGCAGTGTTGAGAGGGTTAACATAATGTGACATTATACAGAGTGACATGAAGTGAAAACCACTGATATAGATAATTAATATATTTTTATTTCTCATTCTCGTTGTAGGCGTCTAAATCTCCGGATGATGTAGAAGCCAAACACACAGAGGCTAAGGTAGGTCACATACACATAGCCAACCACACAGAGGCTAAGGTAGGTCACATACACATAGCCAACCACACACAGGCTAAGGTAGGTCACATACACATATCCAACCACACAGAGGCTAAAGTAGGTCACATACACCTAGCCAACCAAACAGAGGCTAATGTAGGTCAAATACACATAGCCAACGATACAGAGGCTAAGGTAGGTCACATACACATAGCCAACCACACAGAGGCTAAGGTAAGTCACATACACATAGCCAACGATACAGAGGCTAAGGTAGGACACATACACATAGCCAACCACACAGAGGCTAAGGTAGGTCACATACACATAGCCAACCACACAGAGGCTAAGGTAGGTCACATACACATAGCCAACCACACAGAGGCTAAGGTAGGTCACATACAC